TCAGGAGGTAATTAGGTCTTGAAGGTGGGGCCCTTGGGATTGGGATTAGTGCCCTTAGTAGAACCTAGTAGAGCTAGCTGGTCCCTTCTACCATGTGAGGACATGGTGAGATGGTGCCATCTGTGAACCAGAAATCAAGCCCTTTCCATATACTAACTCTGTGTGTGCCTTGGTCTTGGACTTCCTAGCCTCCAGAACTACAGGAAATAAAGTTTATTGTTTAAAGGCTACCCAGTCTCTGGTACAGAGGATCGCTGATTTAATGATGGTTCAACTTAACAATTTTTCAAAGTCATGATGGTGTGAAAGCACTAGACATTCAGTAGAAACCACACTTTGAAATTTGAATTTTCATGTTTTCCTGGGTTAGTGGTATGTGGTGTGATACTCTCATGACACTGGTCAGCAGCAGTTAGTCGCAGCTCCTAGTCAGCCACTTGGTCATAAGGGTAAACAACTGATACACTTAACAACCATTTTGTACCCGCACGACCATTCTGTTATTCACTTTCAGTATAGTATTCAATAAATTACATGAAATATTCAACACTCTTCTTTTTTTTTTTTTTTAAGATTTTATTTATTTGACAGAGAGAAATCACAAGTAGGCAGAGAGGCAGGCAGAGAAAGGGGGGAAGCAGGCTCCCTGCTGAGCAGAGAGCCTGATGTGGGGCTGGATCCCAGGACTCAGAGATCGTGACTTGAGCCGAAGGCAGAGGCTTAACCCACTGAGCCACCCAGGCACCCCTTCAACACTCTTCTAAAATAGGCTTTGTGCTAGGTGATTTTGCCCAGCTGCAGGCTAATGTAAGTGTTCTGAGGATGTTTAACACAGGCTACACTATACTAGGGTGTTCAGTAGGTTATGGGTATTAAACGCATTTTTAACTTATGACATTTTCAATTTACAATGGGTTTACTGGAACAACCCCATGGTAAGGTGAGGAAGATCTGTATTTTATTATGGTAGCCTGAACAGACTATGACTGTTGTGACATATAGTTCTCTTTATACATTGTTGGATTCAATCTACTAATATCTTATTGAGGATTTTTGTATGTATGTTCATGAGAGATACTGGTCTGTAATTTTCTTGCAATGTCTGTCTGGTTTTGGATTAGGGTAATATTGGCTTCATAGAATGAATTAGGAATATTTTATCTGTTTCTGTTTTCTGAAAGGGAGTAGAAAGAATCGGTCTAATTTCTTCATTATTTATTTTTATTTATTTATTTATTTATTTGACAGAGAGAGACACAGTGAGAGAGGGAACAAAAGCAAGGGGAGTGGGAGTGGGAGAACCAGGCTTCCTACTGAGCAAGGAGCCCCATGTGGGGCTCCATCCCAGGATCCTGGGATCATGACTGAGCCAGCCAGGCACCCCAATTTCTTCATTTAAATATTTGTTAGCATTCACCAGTGAGGGGTGCCTGGTTGGCTCAAATCCATTGAGCGTCAGCCTTCAGCTTAGGTCATGATCTCAGCGTCCTGGGATTGAGTCCTGTGTTGGGCTCCCTCCTCCGTGGAGAATCAGCTTTTCTCTCCATCTGCCTCCTCCCGCCCCCCAGAGCTTTCAAGTCCAAGCTGTCTTGCTAGACTTGACCTCCAAATTTTGTATCTGTAGCCTGATCAGACTGTCAAAAATTCTAGGATGTTTCTCACTGTTTGGCTTCTATACTCCTAGACACAAATCAACAATGCCCTAAGAAAGAAAAGTAGTTGAGAATGTAGGAGTCACTTCAGTGTGTTTCCCCGTCTTGCTGAGCTCTTAGACTCTCAATCCTTGGTTGCTCTAGAAGAGCTTTAAACAACCTTTGTTGTTTTGTTTTTTTTATTTAAAAAATTTTTTTAAGATTTTATTTATTTATTTGACAGACAGAGATCACAAGTAGGCAGAGAGGCAGGCAGAGAGAGAGGAGGAAGCAGGCTCCCTGCCGAGCAGAGAGCCTGATGCGGGGCTCGATCCCAGGACTCTGAGATCATGACCTGAGCCAAAGGCAGAGGCTTTAACCCACTGAGCCACCCAGGTGCCCCTGTTTTGTTGTTTTAAATTGTTTTAAATTCCAGTTCTTAGCAGGAGAGGTAGTTTATTCATCAAGGTACCCCATCATCGCTGGAAGCCTGCATCATTAAAGAAATTCATCATGATGGATATATCCTTTTTAAAAATTTTTTCTTATTATTTTATATTTTTTAAAGGTTTTTATTTATTAATTTGACAGAGATCACAAGTAGGTAGTGAGGCAGGCAGAGAGAGAGGGGGAAGCCAGCTCCCTGCTGAGCAGAGAGCCCAACGCAGGGCTTGATCCCAGGACCCTGAGATCATGACCTGAGCTGAAGGCAAAAGCTTAACCCACTGAGCCACCCAGGCACCCTGGATATATCCTTTAAATGAGATTGCATTTTTAAAAAGTTATTTGTGGTAAAAAACAAACCACACAATATAAAATTTATCCTCTTAACCACCTTTAAGTAGACAGTTCAGTGGTATTAACTATACTCACATTGTTGTGTGATAGATCTCCAGAACTTTTTCATTGCACCAAACCATAATTCTATACTCATGGAACAACTCCCCATATTCCCCTCCTCCAGTTTCCTGCAACCAGCATAATACATTGTTTCCATGATTTTGACAACCCTAGTTATCTCATGTGAGTGGAAGCATATGGTATTCCAGTAGTCCTTTGGTGATTGGTCTGCTTTACTCAGCAGAATGTCCTCTATGTTCATCCATGTTGTGGCATATGACAGGATTTCTTTCTTTAATAGAGCAATATAAGATTTCTTAAAGTCTGAATAATATTCGATTGTATGTATATGCCATATTTTGTTTATCCATTCATCCATCTATGGACATTGGGGCCGCTTTCACCTCCTGGCCATTGTGAATATGGTGCAGTGAACATGGGTGTGCGAATATCTCTTCAAGTTCCTGCTTTAAGTGCTAGATATATACCCAGAGTGGGATTTCTGAATCGTAATTTTTGGTTTTTTTTTTTTTTTTTTTTTTGAAGAGCCCCCACACTGTTTTCTGTAGTGGCTGCACCATTTACATTTCCACCAGCTGTGCTTAAGGTTCCAATTTCTCCAGGATTACACATTTGAAATATGTGGCAATTAACCTTTTTTTTTGGACAGACATTATTTTGTCAAAAATGCTTACATAGATGTGTGTGTGTGTGTAAGTCAGCCTAGACCAGAAGGAGTGTTGACAGAGCAAGGTGTTAAGAATCCTTTCTTTTTTGTTCTGAAGTTAGTCTCTCTCTCTCTCTCTTTTTTTTTTAAAGATTCCATTTATCCATTTGAAACAGAGAGAGAGAGATCACAAGTAGGCAGAGAGGCAGGCATAGAGAGAGAGGAGAAAGCAGGCTCCCCGCTGAGCAGAGAGCCCAACGCGGGCCTCGATCCCAGGACCCTGAGATCATGACCTGAGCCGAAGGCAGAGGCTTAACCCACTGAACCACCCAGGCGCCCTGAAGTTAGTCTCTTTATCTACCTCACATTCTTCTCTCTCCTCATGTACCACAAGGGTGAGAGGGACTGAGGTTTCCTTGTCACAGTGGGGTGAGGTCAGGATGCAAGCACCACATTTGGCTAATCAGTCAGATATGCTTTAAATGTTGTTTATTGGGGCGCCTGGGTGGCTCAGTGGCTTAAGCCTCTTCCTTCCTCTCAGGTCATGGTCTCAGGGTGCTGGGATTGAGCCCCACATCGGGCTCTCGGCTCAGGGAGCCTCCTCCCCTTCCTCTCTCTGCCTGCCTCTCTGCTTACTGGTGATCTCTGTCTGTCAAATAAATAAAAAAAAAACCTTTAAAAAAATGTTGTTTATTATCACTATTATTATTTTGGAAATACTTAATGCTGTAAGTAGAAAGGGAGTTGAGCATGGAATCTGGTTCCAAACCGCCTGGGATAATCTGGGTTTTCCCAGCTACTGTGTGATATTGGGGCAAATGTCCTAATTCCTCTGTGCCTCAGTTTCCTTAGCCATAAGTTGGCAATGCTAACAACACTCAGTGCAGAGTTCTTGGCATTAAATAAATTAATATTCCCTAAGCACTTAGGGTAAACCCCAGTCACATACAGTAAGTACTATCAAAGTGTTTGCTAGATAAAGTAAAAGTGGAGGGCGCCTGCCTTACCTCTGTGATACCGAGGTGTTCTTGTATACCTCCCTGGTCATAGTATGTTTTAGGTGTCATTAAACTGCCCTCTCTGTCTCTCTGGGATGGATGCGAGTGTTGTAGTTGGATGGGGAACTTCCACTGGGCAGCGGAGACTGTGGGTTGTGTCAGTAGGAAGTGTTTCTGTACATGCCTGGGTGTAGAGGTGACTCGACTCGGTGCGTTAAAGCAGGTGTTATACACCAGACGAACGGAGCAGGTTCTTGCAAGGTCTGCTCCCTGCGTTCAGGTTAAGCTCTGCGGAGCTCCAAAGGGGAAGCGGGGGCAGCGGGGGCAGCATGGACCGCGGGCCACGGCGCGCGGCAGGACGGAGTGCTGCCCACTTCAGAACGTCGCGGGGACCGTAGGTTCCACACCTGTCTGCGCCCAGAGACCGAGCTCGTGCGCGCCCGGTGTGTGCTAGGAAGGTCGGTCCACACCACCTCCGGGCAGCGACCACCGCGAGCTCGGAGCGCTTCGTAGGAGGTGTCGTTACACACTTCCTGTGGGTCTCGCGGACCACGGCGCGTTTCCGGTGCCGGCTGGAGCCCGGGGTCCGAGCCCCCGCCCCGTTCGCCGGCCCCGCCCCGCCTGCGCCCCGCCCCCTGCCCGCCGCGCTCCGAGCCGGGCGCGCGGAGCCCGGGGCGCACGGAGCGGCGCGCGCCGGTCGGCAGAGCCAGGCTGGCGCCCCCGCCCCCCGCCCCGCGCCTCCGTCCGCCGCCCGCCCGGCGCCTTCCCCGCTCTTCTTACCTTCGCTCTCCGGCCCTCCGGCCGCTTTCCTCCCTCCCCTCGGTCCCGCCCCGTCCAGCCCGGGCTGCCCGGCTCCCGCAGGCCCCCCCCACCGCCCGCGTTCCTATGGACAGACGCACAGACACCTGCAGGTGGGTGAGAGCCCGCGCGCGGGGCGGAGACTAGCGCGCCGACGCTGCGACCTGGGCCGGGGAGCCCCTTTGTGTGGGGGGCGGCCGCGCTGGGGTCCGCGCTGCCGCCCCTTCGGCAGCGGAGCAGTGACCCGGCTGAACCCTCTTTTGTCTCCTCTGGGGGGGGGGGGGGGGGGGGAAGGCCGAGAGTCAGGGCAGCCACTCGGGCGCCTGGCCGTCGCCGATGACGGGCTTGGGGGCGCGAGGGGTGAGACCCCGGGCGGCCGAACGGGCTCCCGGAGCGAGCGCGGGCGGCCGCGGCTCTGGTCAGCCTCGGCGGGGCCGGCCCGCCGCCCAGCATCTCCTGTCGCCGCCGCGGGCGCGCTGCGTGGGTCTGGCTCGCCTGCTCCTGCTCTCGGGTCTGTTTGGAGGTGGGAAGGAGGGCGGGAAGGAGAAAGAAAAGATCTGCCCTCTTAGTTTCCAAGTCTTGAGAGGGTTGTGGAGAGAGGCAGAGAGGTGCTTTGGGTCTTTGCCCGACTTGTTTCCCTCGCGAGAGGCACGCTGAGGTGCGTGTGGGGCGTGTGTGGAGGAACGTGCATCGCTCCGGTCCCTTATTTATTGTTTCTAACGGAGGAGGGCTTTCTCCGGAGGGCTCTTCCGCCCCCTCCCCCATCTGAGGCTGCGCACAGTGATTTGTGTTTGTTATCAAATACATCGACAAATGTATTCCCCTGGGCGCGAGCAGGCTGGGCGGACCAAAATCCAACCCAAATCACAGACCGTTTCAGGTTTTCAGGTGGCTTTTCTCCTTGTTTTAAGGTTAGGTAGGGACTTACAGGCAAATCAAAGATGAACATGGCTGTGATTTTTACAAAATTTGTCTTACATATATACATATTTTAAAGTTTGATGGTAAAGTTATTTTCGAGACTCTAGGATTAGCATGACAGAATCTTCTACCTATTAAGTAAACAGTTAACAAGCGACAGTGACAGCTTCCACGGTGGAGGTTAAATTGGCGTGCAAAATAAATATCTAGCTTTGCGTTGAGGCAAAAACCATTATTTTTGCTGGTTTAAAATATGAGGTCTTCCACAGCATATGGGGAGAACGTTAGAACTGATTTTCCTCCCTGTGATGTGCTTTCCCTCTTTTGGTCTGTTTTTATGTATTTTCTCTCTCTATAAAACCCAACGATTGGGTTGTACATGTTGGATATAGTTTTTTGAAAAGTACTGTAGGTGATATTTCTGAATTATATTATTTATCTGGGTGAGTTTCTTATGAAGAGTTGATACGTATTTGTAGATATTCGAATTATAAGTGAAGTTGAATAGGCGCCCAGAAACTTAATTTTACAGATTCAGATTTTTAATGCAGGTACGGATTTTTATCTTTGTATTATTCTCAACCTATTGCTCACTTCTGGAGACTTCCCCCCCCCCCCCCCCCCCAGTGTGTGAGAATCCATATTGACAAATTTAAATCTGATGGTTATCAAGAAGATTACAAAAATACTTTTGGGTGCTCAGTTATATGTACAGCTGTATGCAGAAAACAGAGGCTTTCTTAAACATCTGAACTTAAAGGAAAAACATTGTGGTGGAAAACAATTTATTTAAATCTTCATCAAGTAAGTTGTAGAAATTCATCAGAAAGCAATGTACAATTTTAATGCAGTTTTAATTAGGCAAAGTGATTTTTGTCATTTAAAGAGACAGTTTTAGTGTGCCGAAAAGAGTTAGTCTTTTTCTAGGAGAAAAAATTAACCTAGATTCTTGCCCTAGTTACAGTAACAGACTATTGTTATTGCATGCCTAATTTTGTAAATATCTGGAGTGTACATTTTTGTACCCTTAAAACCTAGAAGAGACTACATCTAACATTAATTTCACTAGTCCCTTTGACTTGATCAAATTTTATTCTTGCTTTGACTTCCTGTCTAGATTAGTTAAACGAATTTAGACTGCATAGGGCTTAGTGCAAGGCGCTAGTAGGCCCTTGAGGAAGGTTCCTCTTTCTTTTTCAATAAGGATGGCCCAAGGAGCATAGGTATTGAAATTTGTTCAGGCTTTATTAGAATGGTGGGATGGAGTTCGAAAACACCGGCAGAGTTTCAGCTATTAGATTACACACTCATTTTCAGTTCTTAGAAGTTTTAAAAAAGATAAGCCAAGAACTTGAATTATTTGTTTGTGTGTTTATAGGACTGTCAATCAGAGGGATAAGGTTTAAAAAGAGTCACTGTGTAAATTAAATATTAAGAGTGTGGCCTGCATTGAGAATTGCTTGGCAACTTGTGGTTATGCATAACGGTTTTCTGGGATTGGCAGTGTAGCTTCTTCATCTGGGGTGGCTAAAAGATAACAGCCAGTTTTTTTCCATTTTGTTTTTATTTTTGGCTCTGATATGTGGATATTAATTTTTTTGTATAATTAACATTAATATTTTCGTGTAATCAGAAACAGTCCAGAGAACTTTACATATTTTCAACTGATTTCTCTTCTGGTTTGTTGGTATTTAGGAAGGCGTATAAATTATTTTGCTCTCTTAATGATTGAATTTTTTTTCTGATATTTTTGATATGACAAATGTTACTTCCAGATATTTTGAATTTGTAAAGTTGGATTTTAAATATAGCTGAGCAGTATAAACTGACATTGGCCACTTTCTTTTTTTTTAAACAACACTAAGTTGTCCAGTTAAATTTGATAGGCTAGAAAATCCAAAGACTTTTCCTGCTTGTTAGTTATCAGTGTGGTACCATGAAAGGAAACTCAAAGTGGCCACTTTAGGTTACCTGGAACCCTCAAAGGACTAGTATTATCATTAGTAATAACCAAATGAAAAGCTGAAAAGTAACAGTTTTATTCTTTGTTATAGACCTGTGACTTTCAAATACTTCTTTTTCATGAAGTTTTTTTTTAGCCTGGTATAGAAGCAGGTCTGACTGTGAGAAGTATGGACAGTGACCTCTCATTACAGCCTTTATTGTTCTGCATTGTTTAAGAACAGCACAAACCTATGCTGCTCTTGGAAAATGCGGAATTCATTCTTGGATTAATATTCTGCTACCAGATGTACGAGGCTGGCTCTGAAGAAGCTTTTTCTCTTAAATACTGTCAAAAATAGAGAAGCTGAAGATTGGAGAGAAGCCATTTATTTTGAACAGTTTATTTTCTGACAGTTTGTGTTTGTAAAGAAACCTGCTCATAATATTTACTTAAGAGATCTACATAGTTGCCTGAAGAAGCCCCACAGGTTTCTTTTTTTCCTTTAAAAAAGTTTCCATAGAGCTTAACTCTTATGTGATACTTCTTGACTTGGCTTCTGATTAGTTGATTTATGGACTTTATTTATCAGCATGAGTGGAGAATTCTTTTGCTGTACAGAAATTGCACTCTGCCTGTGCTCTGGTCTGTTTCCTAGGTAACAAATGTACTGCATAGATTCCATAATGAGGACTGTGGTTGGCTAGTTACAGTGTAAATTCTGTTGTTTGGTAAAGCTTAGTCTCAAATTCAAATAAAGGTCAAGAAACCAAAAGTACTCAAGATGCGAATTTTTGAATTTTATTTTGTATCCAATGTCAACAAGTTTAGTACCCTTTTCTGGAGAAAGGCAAATTATGCGCAGTATTCAAGTGTATTTTGTAAAGTCTTAAACAGTTGGAGGGCTTTTGACCATTCCGTATTTGTAATACCAGTGGGTCTAGTGACAAAGAAAATGTATTTCAAAACACTTCATCATACTTCAGTATAGAAAGCAAAGGGATATTTAGGATGTCAATAACCTGCTTTTTTGTATTGGAAGAAAAGTAGCATCATATATATTGCTAAAGATAAATTGTGCAACTTCATGTGAAATACAACTTTTAGGGGTGCCTGGGTGGCACAGTTGGTTGAGCGTCAGATTCTTGGTCTCTTCTCAGGACTTGATCTCAGTGAGTTTGGGCCCTGCATTGGGCTCTGTACTGGGTGTGGAGCCTGCTTTAAAAAAAATGAAAGAAAAAACAAATAGAATTTTAAAAAACTTTAAGAAGATATTAAAACATTTAAGAAACTTTTAAAAACATTAAGTGTCTTGGGACACCTGGATGGCTCAGAAAGTTAAGCGTTTGCCTTTGGGGCATGTTCCCAGGGTTCTGGGATAGAGTCCCGCATGGGCTCTTTGCTTAGCAGGGAGCCTGCCTTCTGCCTCTGCCACTCCCCCTGCTTGTGCTCATTCTTTCTCTGACAATAAAATCTTAAAGAAAAAAGAAAAGTCTTACTGTAAAATGATGCATTTATACTCTAGCTATTTTCTCTCTTATCTGCCTGAATTTTGGCCTGCTTAGCACTAGGGAGCAAGTCTCTCTTAAATAGCTACAAATTGGAGAATAACTTTCCACTCACCCTTACTCGTCCTCTTGAAATCTATGGCTTCTATAGCTCTAGGTGCAGGGCAAGAAATGATATATGTGCAATTGCTAGTAATTATTACTTGTTTGTTAAAAAAAAAAATTACAGTGAACCAGAATTCTATTAATACCCATTGAAATATCTTTTCATTTGATGACTAAAAATGTTTTAGTTTGTTGACCATCAGGGATTCTGTTAGTTAGGTGAAAAAATTTTTTTAAAAAACTTTATTTATCTATTTCAGAGAGAGAGAATCTTCAAGGCAACTCCCTGCTGAGTGCAGAGCCTGATGTTGGGCTTGATACTAGGACCCTGAGATCATGACCTGAGCAGAAACCAAGAGTTGAATGCTCAACTGACTGAGTCACCCAGGCGCCCCTGAAAAAAATTTTTTTTTTTAATTTATTTGAGGAGCACCTGGCTGGCTCAGTTGGTAGAGCATGTGGTTCTTGCTTTGGGGGTTGTGAGTTCAAGGGGTGTAAAGCTTACTTAAAAAAAGTGGGGGGGCACCTGGGTGGCTCCGTGGGTTCTGCCTTCGGCTCAGGTCATGATCTCTGAGTCCTGGGATCGAGCCCTAGATCGGGCTCTCTGCTCAGCAGGGAGCCTGCTTCCTCCCCTCCC